AAAGGGAAGAGGGGACAGGATGAAAGGATGGATGGATGGAAGGAAATAAAAAATAAAAAATATCTTTTTTATGCAATGTGCCTTGTGTGGTTTCCTGGCTGTGTGGCCCCCTCAAATTCACATCGAAATCCTAAGCCCAGCATGATGGTCTTAGGAGGTGGGGCCTCTGGGAGGTGATTAGGTCATGAGGGTGGAGCCTCGTGAATGGGATTAGCGCCCTTCTAAGAGGCACCACCGAGCTCCCTTGAGCCTTTAACCACGTGAAGACACAGCAACAAGTCTGCAACTCAGCAGAGAGCCCTCACCTGACCATTCTGGCGCCCTGATCTCGGAGTTCTAGGTTCCAGAACTGTGAGAAATAAATTTCTGTTGTTTATAAGCTACTAAGTCCGTGGTATTTTGTCATAGCGGTCCAAACTGCTTACAGGACACTGGCTTAGGAGAAGCATATAAAAAGTAGCCCATACTAATTTAGTCTACAAAGTGTGTACTACAGCTCTACTTTTTTCTACTTTCCAGAGAAAGTCCTATTTGAATAGTCCACATTATGGTTTTTCCTTGGTTGATCCTCTACATTAGACCGTAGACATCAAAGGCAGTAGAACTGACTTGAATGAATGTGGGAGCTCTTTGAGGACAGGGTTATTTCACTCAATTTCATACCCCTAGCACTAAGCAAAGGGCAGCCTTTGAGCAAACACGTGCACCCCATCACAGAAGAGCCCCCTCACCAAAAGCAGGCCCACGAGCACATCACAAGATGAAAGCAACAAGAAGTCGGTGGGGACTGGGGCTAGGCGTGCTCACAGACTTCCCAAGAGGCTCACCCTCATTGTTATCTTGGTATCTTAAAAGGTGACTGGCTGCAAATACAACGGATGCTAAGTGAGAGCTCTCTCTGTGATCTCAGAAACCACCTGTCTTGGCTCCAGAGACACTACTTACAGCAGGTAGGACTGATGTGGTGTCGAGACCGAGTCCCAGAGGCTCGATTCCTCCAAAGACAGCAAAAATTCCTGTTGGACACACAACAAAGAGGGCCCAGAAACCCTAACTGGGAGGGTCACCAACAGCAGGATGCTCTTTCCCGGCACCAGAGCTGAAGGAAGGATGCACCACATTAACAAACGTGTAGAGCCAAGTGCAAAGGTGCTTCGGCTGTGGGTCCCAGGGCTGTCCCCTGTCCCTTCAGACGCTCTGTTTGCTAATTTCCTCTTGTGGACGCCAGCCCAAGACCTGACCGGACAGGTGACCTGGAGTGTCAACGAGGCTGCGTGCTCCTTGTCAAAACTCAGAGGGGGGAAAAAAGGAAGATCTTCATTGTGGTAAACAATGGTTCTATTTGTTCCAGCGCCTCCCACCCCTGCTGTCAGCCTCCCCCAGCGACTGCCGGTGTTATCTAACTTACGTTCTCGACAAGAGACCCAGGTTAGGAGATGCAGGCTGTGTCCCATTGCTCATTTTTAAGTGGTGCCATCCTTCCAAGGACAGCGGGATTTATAGTCTCAGGAGGCAGACCTATATTTTATGAAGATCAAGATGCTCTTAAAGAATTTTTTTGGCTGCCTCATGGTGGTAAGAGAAGCTGAGCACAGACTTCAGCAAACAGCCTCACACCCAGGAGGCAGGAGACGATGCCGAGCAGTGGAGGTGCCAAGCTGGCGGCCGGCAGCACAGACGTTTGAATATTAAAGACCCAGGAGCAGTATGGGCACATCTTACTCAGGTTTTCCAACCACCCACACAAAGCAAAATCAGATGAACAACAACAAAAGCAAAAAAAAAGAATCAACTAACAAACTCATTCAGCCAGGCCAGAAACGCTGATTAAACTCTTCTGATTTCCTCTGGGAAATCTAGTTCTGCCTTATTTTAAGCAGTAGAAAGACACTTATTTTACAAAAAATAAATCAGAGGGTTAGTTTTTCTTTATGAAAGAATTCACTACAGAATTTCCTTAAAATGTAATTTCTCTGGTTCATTTCAAATATAGCTTTATTTGTACAAATTCAATTTATTTAATATTCAGGAACATCTCTTTGGGAAAATGAGGAAACAGGCCCTGGGAGGAGACATCCCATGTTCAGGGTCAACTAGCAGTTTCTGGAAACTTCCCAACGGCCTTAGTGTAACAGCTACACATGTGCACATACATACAAAATGTCCTGCTGCTTATGAAGTCTGATTTCATCACCACCCTGTGAGTCAGGACCATGAAGCTCAGGCTGCACCTGTGGGAACAGAGGCTGGGGAGTACGTGTCATGCGCAGTTTCTCACTATGTACTGGGACGAGGCCAAGCACTGTCTCCAGGTACCTCGCTGACCCTCCTACAGCTCCACAAGGCATGACTGTCCCTGTTAAAGACCAGGAAATAGGCTCCAGAGCTTGAGGAGCCTGCCTCAGCTGGTGAATGGTAGAGAGAAAGTAAGACTGAGAGCTAAGACAGGAACACTGACCATCAGCTCCACATTCAGCAGAGGAGAGACCATGGCAGCTGGGGGGCCAGGAAAGACGTAGCCAGGGAGGGGACCGGAGGAGGCACAGGATCCTGATGAGTAAGACGTCCTCGGGGAGGGGACTGGAGGAGGCACAGGATCCTGATGAGGAAGACGTCCTCGGGGAGGGGACTGGAGGAGGCACAGGATCCTGATGGGGAAGACGTCCTCGGGGAGGGGACTGGAGGAGGCACAGGATCCTGATGGGGAAGACGTCCTCGGGGAGGGGACTGGAGGAGGCACAGGATCCTGATGGGGAAGACGTCCTCGGGGAGGGGACTGGAGGAGGCACAGGATCCTGATGGGGAAGACGTCCTCGGGGAGGGGACTGGAGGAGGCACAGGATCCTGATGGGGAAGACGTCCTCGGGGAGGGGACTGGAGGAGGCACAGGATCCTGATGGGGAAGACGTCCTCGGGGAGGGGACTGGAGGAGGCACAGGATCCTGATGGGGAAGACGTCCTCGGGGAGGGGACTGGAGGAGGCACAGGATCCTGATGGGGAAGACGTCCTCGGGGAGGGGACTGGAGGAGGCACAGGATCCTGATGGGGAAGACGTCCTCGGGGAGGGGACTGGAGGAGGCACAGGATCCTGATGGGGAAGACGTCCTCGGAGAGGGGACTGGAGGAGGCACAGGATCCTGATGGGGAAGACGTCCTCGGGGAGGGGACTGGAGGAGGCACAGGATCCTGATGGGGAAGACGTCCTCGGGGAGGGGACTGGAGGAGGCACAGGATCCTGATGGGGAAGACGTCCTCGGGGAGGGGACTGGAGGAGGCACAGGATCTTGTTGGGGGAAGGCAGAAGGAAAGCAGTCTCCAGGGAGCGGAGCAGAGTCTGAGAGGCTGGACTGCATGTGTGGGTCTGGGTAGCAGTGGTCTGGTGTGGTCTTACGTGGGTGGTGTGTTTCCTCCTCACACAGCAGGAGCTGGCAGGATGGCTGAAAGGCTGGCCAAAGTGTTTCCATGAACTGCGCAAACACCAGCTCACATATAATTAGAAGGCATTACTAAAAACATGATTTCAAAAGACAGCCTGGAGCCACTCACTTGAATGGAAACTTACTTCTAAGGAACAGTTTGCCCCTCTCCTCAATGACGAAAGCTGAACAGAGAGCCTTCCAAGCCAGACCACAAGAGACGCAGAAAAGCTCCAGGGCCATAAGGAGGCCAACAGGAAAGGGCTGGAGCTACACCTGGCTGCTGAGGTCGTGAACTCCAGGTGTTCCCAGTTCCACCAAGCTGATGACAACAGCACAGTGTATGGGGGAAGCCACACACAGCAGTTCCTGCTTGCACAGGCCAAAGGAGAGTAATTCAGGAAATAAATTATCTTCAGCTCTGGAGAAAAGTGCTACCAGAACTTTAATGAAGCCGAAGGAGATAAAATCCTCTAATAAATAAACAGCGGCCTCTGAGCACATCCAGGTTCCGGGGTTCCTAGGAGGATTGAAGTCAGCAGCAGGATTCTCTAGATCAGGAGGGGCAGGAGGAGAGGGGACCACAACCAGGAGCTGTGTGGAAGGCACTGACTCGGGTTCTGCAGCAGATGCTGTTCCTGAGCTGCCTAGTGTGTCAGGACTAATGTTTATTACAAAAAACAGAGCAGGCCCTTCCTACCTCCAACAGCACTAACACAGGAACATTATGTTCCACCCAAAGTGGAAAAAATCACTTTATTGATCATATTATACTTGCTTTATCTGTAAATCTGGCAAATACAATTTATTCCTCACTAAACATATTCATTTCTATATGACTATGAATTAGCATACGCATCAATGAGTGACTATCTCTAGGGAGAGGCCCTGCATGGGGTGGGTGGAGGGCAGAGCCAGGGTGAAAGGGTACGAGGGAGGTTTACTTTTCCCTTTATATCTTTTCGTGTCAATTTAACATTGAATAATGTGCATGTTTTACCCACTCAAATATCTGTGCATTGATTAACTCAATTTTGAGTAAATCAAAACCCAGGAAGTTTTACATTTTAATGGCACTATTGATTAGTGACAATCAAAAGGTACCAAATAATCAAAGATCCATCATCCAAGCAAAAAATGATGTTCTAGACCAATTTCTAAAAAAGATTATGAGTGGACATGAATATGGTCAGAATAAAGCAAGCCTAAGTTGTTGGGCTGGAATGGTGGAATGTGCAGTATGCTTCGATGCTGCATTCCACTAAATAATGATGATGACGATGATAGTAGTTCATACCTATTTCACACTTAGCACATGCCAGGCACCATCCTAAATCCTGTCGTAACATTTCCGAATGCCGTTATGTTGCTGGTCTAAGGAGCATCTATAAGATGGAGAAAACCCTAGTGGATGTTAAAGACTGAGAAACACCTGAGAGCTGGCCAGCATATGGATGCTGTTTACACTTAGGTCTTTTCCGGACCAGGAAAAAGGCAAATCTTCCGCAGACGTGACACAGGCCATAACGAGGCGCAGCAACTACCCGTGTGACAGGGGACACACTTCACTTCCGGAGACTCACCAAGGGCGTGTCCTTTCCTCCCACGATGCTGAGCCCGAGCCCCGAGCGTCCCTTGGATATTTCTATAATCATCTCCTGGCCAGGGACAATGGGACACGTGGCAGGGTCCACTGACAGCGGAGCCTGGAAACCACCTGGACAAGGATGGAACAAAGTGAGAGGCAGGTGGAAGGCGCAGCTCAGCTTGGCACTCAGGGCCCAGGAGGGCGGGGTCCGCACATGCACCATCGCACTCCTTTCCTGCATGCCCCACGACAGAAAAGCTGGGTCACGACTGCCCAGTCACCCAGGGACGAAACATGATATTCCTACCACACTTTTGACACTAAAACAATAAACTGATTCCCTTTCCAAAATCACACATTTTAGGTATAGTTGAAATTTTTTTAAATCTTAAAACACACCACAAAAACTGGTATGGAAAAATTTAAGATGATTAAATGACCAAGTTCATACAGGCATATGTTATCACGAGAATAAAGACTAGTGTGACAGAAGATTCTGAGTTACAGTTATAAATACCAGTTAAGAAATAAGGCTTCAATAGTTACAGAGCCCATCATACGAATTAACGTACAAAGGATTTAATCAATAAAGTATGATGTAACAAAGAATAACAATTACCTAAAAATTATCTCCAATTATGTATACAGTGGAAAAAAAATGTATTATAAACACAACATTCAAGAATTAATTGCTGGGTCTGTAACTGAAAAGCTTGTTAAGAGTCACTGCATTTTTACAAAGGTTTACTTCTTAAAAATCATTGTTTTAGACCTGGTTTTTCCAAAAACTGGGAACAAAATATTTACAGGCTAAGAAAGATGTTTAATAATAACCATTTAGCATAAGTTCTACATATGTGTGTTGTCCAGGTAACTGAACCTGACCACTGAAAAACCGAAACACTCAGAACGTCAGTTTCAGGAGAATCTTTTACAAACAACGTCGCCAGAGGACGTCTCCGCTCCCGGTAACCGGTCCATCACCAGTTCTGGTCCCCGCGCTGGCGTGACTCACAAGCGGGCCGACCCCAGAGGGCGCCCCCTGCTGGTCGCTGCCGTGAGCGCACAGGGCCACGCTGAGACCCGGGAAGCTCAGTAAACTGCACACGGAGGGCGGCCGACCATGGCCTGCGGGCCAGGAATCGTTTTAAAATTTTCCAGAGGTTGAAAAAAAAATCAAAAGAAATATAGTACTTCAAGATGTGAAAATTACACGAAATTCAAATTTCAATGTCCATAAGTAAAGTCATATTGGAACACAGCCCTGCTAATCTGTTTACATCTGGTCTATGGCTGCTCTCGCGCCACAACGGTGGAGTCGAGCAGCTGCGATAGAGACCGCATGGCCCGCAAGCCTTCAATATTTACTATCTGGCACTTTACAGAGAAAGTCTGCCAATCCCTGGTATAAAACAAAGGGAAAGAGGCTCAAGGTCAGCCTGTGGGGGGTCCTGCTCTGACTCAGCAACAATCATGGTGTTCATGGCACAAGGGCACAGGTTTTGGAGTGGTGCAGACGTGGCTTGAAGTTCCCAAGAGGGACTGAGAAGGTGGGCGAAACTTCTCATTAGAAAAACGCATGTGACCCCTATCCAATAGGCTGTCAGAGGAACTGAACGCACGGATGTGTCGTGAGGCCCCCAGCCCAGGGCCTGGCAGAGTGTAGGCATCCACGGAGCTGCTGTTCCTGACCACACGGAGTTTATTAATCTAATGGCCTCCTGGTTAAGAATGGGAAACTTAGTGACAACCTCAGTAACAGTAAAAAATGCCGTATTAGAAGTAGAATATTAAATTGTAAACCTGTCTCTAGACGTTTTGCAGCATATGTATTTCATGCTACATTTTCCATTAATTTACAATAAAAACAATGCATAATAGTGGCAGAAGTTCATGGATGCTCTAAAAAGTCTCTACTCCTCTTGCCAATGACTCGTTTAGTCCTGAGTGAGGAGAGAACAACAGTAAGAGATCCTGGAGGCCGCCTTTCTTTCCCTCCTCCTCTTCCGCCTCCCCCTCACCAGTCCCGAGTCAGGAATGTCTCTCTCATAGAATCCAGCCCAAGGCCTGACTCACACCAAGCCCCTAGGAAACGATTGGTACGTGGATGACTAAACGAATGAAGTTTTCAGAGATTAAATTGTAAGAGGATTAATTTCTGTTATCAAGGTATAAATATGTGATATGTATTATCAAAACTCAATTAGTCGACAGTGAGGTCAGCAAACCCTTTCGGTAGAAGGCAGGTAGTGAACATTTTGGGCTTTACAGGCCACATGGTCTCTGGTGCAATTACTCAGTTCTATCACTACAGTGTGAAAGTAAGCAAACGAGTATTCTAGGAAAACCTTATTTATGGACACTGACATTTGAATTTCACATAATCTTCATTAAATATTCTTTTGATTTTCTTCAACCTTTTAAAAATGAAAACTATTTTTAGCTTGCAGACCACATAAAAACAGATGGCGGGCCAAATTTTGACCCACGGGTCAAAGTTTCCTGACCTATTCATCAAGCATTTTAGTAAAAATCTAGTGCTTTAGAACACCTGCTTGATAAAGTTTTTATGAATATTTATGAAAAAATACCTAAAAGACCACACCTTAAAGGTGTCAGGCTTGCTAATTCATGCAGAGTTATGCTTTGCCATTGGTGAGCATGGTGTTTTAAACAGTACATTTTTTTTAACTGACTTATAGTGCATAAAAGCAAAATGGAAATACTTATTATTCATTTTGAAGTTCTATTTTCAGCCACCAGTCAGCATAATTCAAGCCAGGAATTCAAAGAGAGAAAGTGAACACCAGTTTCTTCAAGCACTGAAAATTAACAGTGTTCAAATAGCTTTCCTCAACATATGCAAAGCTGACAATTTGGTTCAATATGATTTCTAAGAGATCTTACTTATGAACTAAATGCAGGCCTCTGGAGAGATTAGAGAATAATCTGCAAGCCTCAGATCCAAATAGCATTTACTGAGGCCTTTTCTGTGCCGGCTCTTTTCTATTGAACAGGCACTAGGCAATCCCACTGGTGGAGACGAGGAAAACGAAGCAGGAAGTGGTAACCTGGCCCAGTCCCAAAGCTGAGGGCGTGGCAGAGGGACACAAGCCAGGCGCCCTGACCCCGGTCCAGCGCTCTTTTCAGAACATCACCATCCCTTCCTTCTCTAAGGTTTGATGAGCCAACTCAGCTCTGCTGGGAAAGAGAGCCATACCGTAGCCTGGGAAGTCGGCATCTGTGGAAGAGTACGAGGGCGCTGGTGCTAAGGGTATGTCTTGTGAACCCAAGGAGACTTGTGCTGAATACTGTTGCTGCTTCATCTGGCTGACAGCCTACAAAAGGAAGGAAAATTAGATGAATGTCAAAGAGGAGCAAAGTAACAAGAGAAGACGTTCAAATTGGTGCTGTTCCCAAAACAATGGTGCCCTCCAATCACGTCTTTCGAGAAGTTAGAGCGGGAGAGGTGGCAAGAGGGGTTCGGGAGATTTTTGCCCATTCCTCACGCTTTTCTATCTAACTTCATGTCTAAAATGCTTCAGTGAAGGATGGATCAAGGATGGGAAGAAGGATAAAGCTGAAGATACTCTATCATCGTGGTCTACAGGTGAAGCTGGGGCTGGGAAGCAGAACAAAATTTTCAGAGTTTCTATTCATTCTGATGAAATCAATGTGAAGTCCAGATATCAGTGCTGTCTCCACTGAAAGACAATCTAGGCTGCAAATGTTCTGCGCATACAGCACCGCCCATCTCCGCTGGACACACTCACAACAGCCAAGGATGCAGGCGGGAGTTAAAGAGCAACACGGGGGCAGGAACCACAAACATCTACTGAGGCCCTGAGTGCCAGGGTATCAGGTACATTTAATTCACCTAAAAGAACTGTCCCTCACTCACCTTTGATTCCCAGTGCCTGGAACACAGTAGGACCTCAATAAATGTTTGATAAATGAATGAATGAGTAAGCGAAGGAATGGCTATAGAAGAGCAAAACTGAAGACATGGAAACTCAGAGAGGGAAATGAATCGTGAGTCAATGAAGGTGCAGAGACCTCTGCCATGGGAGCTATTGAAAATTAACTTGTAATTCTGGATATCTGTTGGTAATACCTCCAATGAATATCAGTATTAGAAAACCAAGAAAAACCCCACAAGGACTCCATGCTTGCTTAACAGGCAGGTAAGAAATATCAGTAGTGACTTGGCCTGCCTTCCGGATCAGCAATTAGCCAGGGAACCCGTCCCCGGCTGGAGTCTGGTGCAGGCGGTGAAGCACCAGGCTGCCCCTCGAGTCCAGAAATAGGATCAAGGCAGCTGCTCCAGGACAAATACACTCCAGATGCTGTCAGTGGGAGGCTGTGCCTCAACACAGGGCACTGTGCAGCAGGTAACAACTAGACACCGCCACCCCTCGCACGTGAACTGTGCTGTCCAGGCTTCCAAACACTCTCACAACCATGGATTCATTTAATCATGAGAACAAGCTTGAGAGTTAGACAATCTTACTTTCTCTTCCAGATAAAGAAACCAAGACCCAAATGTCAAGTGACATATCTGAAACCACACAGCTAATTAGAGGAAGACAAAAGTCAGTAGTTGAAGAATGCTACAAGTTTAGAGAGCTTATGAAACGGCAGCTGGCAATGATTCTGCGCATATTCATTTTTTCCCTATAGTTTTTCTATCACCATCATTTAATAATGACCACATACTTACTTAAAAAGACTTATTCAAATACATATTTTCAGTGATTTTAAAAAGAGGGAAGGAGAAAATGACAAATAAGGGGTGACCATCAGAAAAGTGAACAATGGAACCACCTAGATGTCCAGTTACTCTAAGGATCCCATTTTCTAGCCTCCTCAAAGCTACATGGGTCCACAGACTAAGTTCTTGTCAATGAGATGTAAACAGACATGAACTGCACAATTTTCAGGTCATTCTCCTATAAGAAGGATCCTGCCTTCCCTTCTCCCTAGCTGGAATGCAGCTGGGATGGCAATAAGTGGAGTGGTCATCTTAGACCAAGAAATGGATGCCATGTTCTGAGGATGACAGCATAACTAAATAAGAACGGTGCAGTAATCAGAGAAGAGGTGCCTGGGTCCGTGACACTGTGGAGACACCATATCATCCTCAAACTGATCACACCCAGACTGCCATGCAAAGGAGAAACTTCTGGCAGCAACTGAGTCTAACCTTAACTCATAAGTACTTATGTCCAACTTTCGTTTGCATCAGCTCAAGAAAGAACATCGACAACAAACCTGAATGCAAGCCACAGAGTTCTTATATGAAACAATCATGTGAACTTTAAAACAGCAAAGCACAAGAGACAGCAATCACTATACTAGGACTTTTTCTAACAGCGGGGAAGGTTTGCTGCCCGTCTTTAGATCCAGTTCTGTGCAGTACCCCATTTCACTGTACACAGAAGTCTCCAACAGATATTGGTAGCATTGAGCTCAATTGAAAAACAAGGAAACGGTCCATAGAAACCAAGTGAGACATCCAAACACACACGTTTAGACGCAGACCTCTTGCTGTCGGTACCTGTGATGGATGCATGCGCTCCTCTGACTTATCCATTGGCACAAAACCAAACTACTAAGTATGAAAGACCAGAAAGAAGGGATTCACTGTTGAATGTTACTATTTTCGAATATGACAGTGGAATGGACTCTATAGGACATCCAACCTAACTAAGCCAGTGGGTCTCAACCCTGTCTTCATAATAGGAACTGCTAGAGAACCTTTAAAATTTATGGATGCTGGGACCTCCAACCTAGACCAAATAAATTGGCACCTAGGGGTGTGAAGCCCAGGCAAGTATGTTTTTTTTTAATTGAGACTTATTTATTAAAGTTAAACCATGGGTTCTTAACCCATGGTAAATGAGTTTCCAAGAGATTCACAGAGGGAGTTCTGGGAACTATAAAACTTCTGTGGTTATATCAAAATTATACTTAGTGTTTTTCTGGGGAAAGGGTCTATACTTCATCAGGTCTTCATGACAGGAAAAACCCCACACTACTCAGAAGCAGCTATGAATTGCTGAGTTTGCTGTCACTAATGAGCAGTGCGACCACAGGCAAGTCGCTTCACCCCCCCGCCTCAACTTCCTTGTCTGTGACTCGGTGGCGGGATTGCTGTATCTTGCAAGGTTGTTGTGAAGATTAAAGAGAAAAGCACACAAATAAGTCTATTGCTGTGCCAGGAACAACTGAGGAGTTGAATTAACAGCAGCTATTAATATTTTATGTGCTTTGCCAACATATTAACAAAATCGGCCAGCTTCTGAGTGAGAATCTTCAGGGACAGAAGGCTCCAGGTCCACATGGAAGCTCATCCGTCCTGGAAGAGCTCAGATGGCTGGAGAGCAGTGGCTGACACAGGCTCACTGCAGGGGCTGCCCGTGGATCTCCGGGCCGCTTCTGTCCTGGGCTATAGGCACCTTCCCAAAGGAGAATGCTTTCGATATATAAGTGCTCAGTTTTCATCAGGAAAAGAAAGGTCAGATGACATTTAAGATTTGTCCCAGCTTGAAAATTCTACAGTTATAAAATTTTAGTTATAAAATTTTGATGTGTGCCCCAAGACAGGTGGCAGTACATAAAGTATTAACATATTAATAGTATTTTCAAATGCATTACGTAAAGCAAAAAATCTGGTTTTAAATTTTAAAAATAATTACTTACAGGTTTTCAGTTGAACTGAATGCTTATTTTTAAGGTTCTTTCTACACCTACTTTTCTTTATTTAGGTTTTTAGCATATAATTTTGGAGATTTTTCAAAGGCATTTTCTTTGGCAATGTTTGAAATATGACATATTTCCTGTAAGCTCTAGTAATCTATAGTTCATTAAACATAAAAATAGTTAATAGAGTAATAATGTAAATTTTAGCAGCACAAAAGTATAAACTAGCACATAGAAATGAGAATCAGGAATTCAGAAAAAACAAGAAAAAACTCAACAGCAACAAGTACAAAAGTCTGACAGACAGAAGTTTGTAGTTATTTTTTGAGAAGTGAGACTCAAAATGCAAGGAACATGAAAGTCTTGCATTTATGTTTATAGAACTACAATTTCTCCCATTTTAAAAGCTTATGTATGACGTCATGGGAGACAGCACCCTCAGAGTTTAAGTGCAGTGTGTTTTCAGGGATGCCCAACCTTCAGACACCTGCTTAGGGGATCGGACAGAAAGGTGCACAGGATATTTCCACAAGCCTTCCCCAGAATCAGTAACACACTTGTGGGCTGACTTCAGGTTGTAAGATACACCATAACCTCCTGCCCAGTAATGAAGGATCTGATTTCATTGCCATCACCCCCTTTTCTTCTGGAACCCATCCAGAACGCACACACCTCAGGAGAGCAAACCTAAAGTGCAAGACACGTACGCTGTCAGTTGGGCACTCCAGGGCCTGCTGCTGACCCGCCACCACACCTTGACCAACCAGCTGGGGGACGTCTTCCTGAAAGGCAAAAGGCACAACCAGTTAACAACACTGTAGCTTGACTCTCCAATGGCAGCAAACACCACTAAATGGGGCTGCAGTCTACGACGCAAACGACCAACACACCAGGGGTAAAAGTTTTGTGTGTCCATCTGGACGAACCCTAGAAATGAGCACGGGCTTGTCTTTTCCAAGTGCTCTTCTGGCTCCTTCGATCAATCAGGCTTTAAGACCCTCAGACATCCTCTGACGGTCACTTCAGCTAGTTTCTTCTTCTCTGTTGCACCAGTAATCCCTATGTCTGTATTTATACTGAATATTACATCCTTTCAGGGTTCAGATCCTGATGTAATTAGTACTATTTCCCCCCTTAAGATATTCAAGTAGAGGCAAAAAAGTACATTCATTGAAAACACTGGGAGATACAAAGATAAGTCAGTCTTGAACCCTACAGAGAAGTGCAGAGTCCAGACTTTCGAGAGAAGTAAACTACTAAAACATGTGGAAACCAATGCCGAGCTCAAGGGCAGTTTATTGAAATAAATGGTGACACCAATCAACTGACCAGAATGCTTCTGGCTGCCTCTCAACACAGCCCAGCCTCTTTACGGGCAGTTTACAGAGGAATCATCATCTGATGTCTACTTGAAGGCAGGCACTCCTGCGTCTGGACTGGGGCAGGGCAGGGAGCGCCCTGGATAGGAGAAAAGATGGGTTTACACTGGCCCCCGGTACATGTCTGAGACACCCAGGTAGCAGGTCTAGGACACAGATGGCAGGAAGGTAAGCGACCTGGAGAGGAGAGGTGTGACTCGAACAACCAAGTGTTGGGAGTCTGTGACCCTAGTTCCTCGACCTACGAGTTCTGCAGCCCTGAGCAGCTATGTGACATCTCCAAGCCTCAGTTTCCTCATCGAAAGGGAAAACTAAGAGTAGTTACACCATAGGGATGCTGAAAGGATTAAGTGAAGCAATACACGAAAAGCACTTAGCACAGTATCTGGCAGATAACTACTATTTAATAAAGATGCTAATGATGATAGTAAATGGCATCGAGCTGCGATAAACCCAGGTTCCTGACTCTACCATAGGGTCGGTGGAAATAATCTCCTGGACTGGACTCTTTCTCCTTTGGGGGATGCTGGAGTCCTATCTGACACCCCCAAGCCTCCCTGCCCCAGTTTCTTTTCTGGGCACACTGACACAGCCTTCTTCAACAGGCTCCCATCCAATTTGTAACAGTACAACAGATAATGATCAGGTTACGCGCAGCCATTCATTGTTACTAGATTAGGCTACAGTCTCATGCCGCCTCATCAATTCCCTATTGGTTTCCAACCTGAGAGACTTAACCCACCACTAACGTCCTGGGACTGCAGCCGAGGTCCCTGGATGACTGTCACTACCCTTAGCTGCCTTCTTGCAGCTTATGTTTTAGGATCAGAACTCTCTCTCATTTAGATTTAGATCCTTTCTAATTTCTCCCACATGGGAGAAAGATCCCAGAACTCCCCCTACCCCGGCCCTTTTTTTTTTTTTAAACTTTGCTCCTAAACAGACTATATGACATAAAATGAACTCAGAAGTTCCTTCATGCCATGATTCTTCCCTGAGCCCCTGGGCAGTGCCCCTTCTACAGTGCGACTGGTTTACCTTGTCACGATCTGGTGACATCACGTTGCATCTTTTTATGTATCTGTCTCCCATACACTAATATGACCAACTTTGTCTTGTTTCTTCAGCACCTGGCAGAACAGAACAGGAGCTTGAGAAAGGGCCAGTGCTGAAGGAACCAAAGCTTGGGAGCTTCGCCTCAAGTGCCCCCAGGTGGTTTTCAGAGCCAGCAGTGAAAGGAGGGACGCACAGTGACGGGCACCCTGTGGCCTCCACTTTAAAGGATCACAGTTGAAAAGAGAGAAGAGAGACATGGAAAAGTCAATAATGGTGCTCACGGAATTTTTAGAATAAAAGTCCTAAACTGTCCTATCAATGGCAACAGTGCTGTTACTCCTTCCAGCGCGGATCAGGTGGCCTTTGGAAGGGCAAAGCCGCCTCTATTTGAAAATCAGCCTGCAGGTCTGCAGTTCCACCTTTGTGGAGACCCAGAGCTGACTTCCCCGCTAAAGACTGAAAATCCCGACCTGCACATCACACAGAGGGACAGCTAATTTGGCTGAATTCGTCCTCGTTGTTTGTACTTGTAAACAAAAAGAAAGAGCACTGGAACAGCAGCCAGAAACACCTGGCTCAGGCTGTGCCGCCCCTTCTGAGCAGCAGCAACTGAACGAGGGGCAGTGAGCAGAGAGGAGTCCAGCACGTGCCTGTGGAGCGTCTGCTCTGTGCCAGCAGCGACAGGCTAACAGAGCCTCACGCTACGACACTGACATACCTGGTGAGACAGATCTTAGAGAAAAAGTCGGGGAAACTTTGCATTACAACTGAGTGATACAGCTGGGAAGGCGTGTGGCAGACAGCAGGTGTCTGAGAAGGGTCAGCTTCCTTCCTGTCTCGTATTTGTCCTCAAAAATGTGGATGGAGGAGATGAGGAAATCAGAGCTCTGAAAAGCATCTGGTCCCACACTGTCCCGTTTCTTATACTGATCACCCTCAAACCTCTGGGCCATGGGGCAGGGCCCGCACCCAGCGAGGGTAAAAATAACGACAGCTGACACTTAGGGAGCACTGACCGTACCAGCGACCATGCGAGGGTCGTTTCGGATCTTAGATGCTGATGTGCACAGCAGACGTGTGCGTCTGGTCCAGTCCTTGTCCTCATTCTGGAGCTGGGCCAGCTGAGGCGCAGAGAGGCTGATGTAGCTGCTGAGCCAGCTCTGCTCGCAGATGCACCCTGCTCCAGAGCCCTGCCCTTCGCGAGGAGTAAGAACCAGGGCACGGAGGGTGCTGCTCTCCTCTTCCAGTGCTGCACACGAGGTTCCGGGAGTCAGCCTCCCCGCACCGGCCAGAACAAGCCACGCCTGCTTAGTCCGAGCCTGGGCACGGAAAAGGCCATGGCACCGGCCACTGCAGAGACCCCGGGTGAGTCACTTTCCTCCATGTTTTGCATTTAAACATAAATTTAGAGCATGCTTTTCTCCCAAGTAGTGCACCAGGGCAGCTCTTAGTGCCTTCAAAGCTGAGGTTCTGGGACCTTCTAAGGCGCTGACTTTGCACAGAAGACCCCTAAATAAGGAGACGAGGAAACCATGTGGAAAGATTACCTTGTTTTACGAAGCAAACAGATAAGGCACCTTCTGTTATGGTCCTCAGCACAGCACCGTGAGCTCCTGAGAGAAAACACTTTGCGGGCCTGGCAATTACTCTGATCAAGAAAAGTAGTTCTGATGCGTGAACATAGAGGCAACACTGGCAATGTTCTATAGAACAGGCAATAACGGGAGCAACGTCCAGCTACTATCACCAAAGCCGGGTAACCGACAGGCCCGTCTGGCCACAGTAACTGGCCCGAGGGCGGACACCTGCACCACACAAGAGCATCCTGCGGATGTTCCAGAGGGGACCCAGGGGAGAGGTCAGTCCCTCTGGAGAGAGGCTCAGGCGCTGCTGGCGGCCATGCCCCCACCACACGGAGGAAGCGAGTCTGCAGGAGAGTCCGAAAGCCACGCAGAGACGTCTCCGCAGCACCAGGCCTCTGGTCCCACTGTCCCTGAGCCGTCCACCGCCCTCCTGCAGCGATACAGGAGGAACCTGCAGCCTGTCCGTACGTTTCCCCTTCGTCTACAAGGTCAGGCTGACGTTTCATCACCTGCAGCCAAGAGACTCCAGATTCAAACAGGTAACAAACTCACAGAGTCAGGCCCTAAGGCAGCGAAGCGGAGATGGATGATGTGAACTGAGCATAAGACAGCAAACTGGACAGAGCTGCCCAGCCCAAAAGTAGCCAAATTCAATCCAACAGTATTCAAATTCAACAAGTTTTAAAACATGCCTCTCAGACACATGACAAACACAAGCTGTCTACTGTTGATTTGGGTCCTTGGACTTCCACTTGGTAGCCATTGATGACTCTAGAAAAAGACCACCTTGGCCTGGATCAGCCCCAGTCTGACTCCCACACACTCCTCTAGCCTCCTGGATCAGGTGAGATCGCAGTAGCGAGGGCCCCCACCTTCACTTTCCCCTCAGTAGGGCTCAGGAACACTAAGATTGCTTGTTTAAAGGTGATTCAGATCTTGGCTGGGACACTTGAGTTGAGTGTTTCTTTGCCTCAGTTTCCTTATCTAGAAGATGAGGATAACTATAGGTTGGACCTCACATATGATATGAATTCGTACACTTAGAATGACAGTGCACAGTAAGTGCTGGGAAAGCGTTGGCCGACACTATTCCCTGCAGTTCTGGAAGCTGCCTCACGGCGAGGTCGACGTCATGCTCACCGCGACGTGCCCTGTGGCCAGCACCGCGCCTGCGACATCACAGGCCTCAGTACAGACTTACCTCATTCTGCTCCCTTCAAAAGATGAGATAAGCAACACAGGGTTTAGATTGTAGGGTCTTAAAAGCACGTCAGCACACGAGGCTTCCACCAGCTCTGCATTCAGAAGACAGGGCACCAGGCACAGGCAAGAAAGTCTGAGTTCTGGGCTCTGGGTCGTCACGTCGTTTTCCTTCTCTGGGTCCTTAGTGCTAATAATTACGATTCTAAGATTATTTTCTCAATTTGGATAAGTCTGATAAGCAATAGCTTCCTTCCAGGCAAGTTGAATTTCAGGTTGAAAAACAAGTCGCCACAGCGGACCAGTTAAATCACTGGGAGTGAAAGCACCTAGCAGCCGTCTGGGATGCGGATGTGTGCTACAACGTGCACCTGTATTTCTTCATCTCTGAGTTCACGAGGTCACTGTACCTGTGACTCTCGAGTCTCCATTTTATCTTCATTTACAACGCAGAATGGAAGAGAATGGAGGAAAAAGTCAAAAGCTTTTCTCTTGTGACTTTTGTGAAGGAAATTGACTTGATGTAAGTCTACTGTCTTTTTTATGACCAGGAAAGAAAACTTA